GTGTGTGTGTGTGTGTGCTCACTATGCTCTTGGAGCTGACAGCGAGGACTCGGCACACCAGGTTGAGTATTGGTCGCACAGGCAGACGGACAGCAGAGGCTGGATCCACCCTGTAAGACAAATATGAGAGAGTTTGAATACTTGTTTTTTGTGATTTGGGTGAGCTATCCCTTTAAAAAGGAGGGTTGTTGAGTTTGTGTGTGTGTTGTACCCGAGTGTGTGTTTGAGCGCCAGGCAGACCGCTGTGTATCGGTGCTGGAGCTGCAGCAGCAGTAGGGGATCCGACTGGTCGAGGTGAGGGAAGGCCAGCTCCACGCCCGGGCCTTCGTACTGCACCGCTCCATCTGTCCCAGCAAAGAGCACAACACACATGTAGAGGTCACTGCCACCCGGTGGTGCCAACGGCTAAACCCTACCAGCAGCCATAAACCATTTGGTACACTGTGTATGCGCCAGTGTTGGAGAATAATTCAGGATTTACAGTACTAGACCGACAGATAGCTTTAAGAGAGAAATAAAAAGTAAAGAAATAATTATTCTAATTGAATGGACAAATCACCCCAGAATAAAAAGTATATACTTTCCTCTCACATGTAGTGTTATTTATCGATCTACATTGCTTTGGTGCGAGTTGTAGAGTGTTGAAAATATCGGGCGTAGAGGTACGATGGAACATTACAGCACACGGCTTGTGGTGCTCAAAGTGGCAAAAAAATGTAATTTTAAAAACTCGACAGCAACGTTTCTTTTTGGAAATCATGACCCGGTTACTCAAGATAATCCATTCACCTAGAGGTGAGCTGGTTTATGTCGGAACTATTTTCTTTCTACCGAATTAAACCCGCCAACCGCATCACCGTGCAGAAGGAAGCGTGCGTCTGCTCGTGGACGAGAGGCTCGTGGCAGCGCGAGATGTAAACATAAATGGCGTGGTGCAACGTTAGCTAGCTCAGCTGTGCTAGTTGAGCTTAGCTAGCAGTATCAGTTAGCAATAAACTATGAACACGATGAGGATTTCAGGAAGAATTGTAATTTTTGGGTTTCGTAATATTGGAGAGAAGGCAGACATCTCTATCAATATCTCCAACACTAAAACTCACCAAAACTATCAAGAATGATAAATAGCACTACAGGTAAGAGGGAGAATGGATTTTTGATTTTGGGGTGAACTGTCACTTTAAGTGGGACAAGTAACAGATTTTAGTTTAAAACGTAACTTGACTCTCGCAGTCTGTCTTGTCAAATAAATAAATAAATAAATAAATAAATAAATAAATAGAGATAGAGAATTAGATCGTCCATCATCAAAGACAAATGAACCCATGCTCTACGGCAACATTCAACAAGTGTACCTGTTTCTGAACCCTGGTAGATCTGAGCCAGCAGCCCATTGGCTGAGACCAGCAGGCAGTGAATCTGATTGGTCCAGCCCTCAGCTCTGCCAGCACCCACCCCTCTGTCCAACAGGCCCCCCAGACAGGGCAGGCGGGCATAACACTGGCAGGCCATCTGACAGAATGACAGCGAGGCGGAGTTACATGAGGGAAACTATTCTGTTGTCAAAACATCAGCTTGGAGAATCACAAACACAAACCTCTTGTGTTTTCTTGTTGTTGCTGTCCATTTTGGAGAGGAAATAAGCTCCCAGTTTTTCCTGGAGAAAAAAAAAAAGAAAAAAAAAAAAGAAAAAAAAAGAAAAAAAGAGGCTTTTTAGTTTTTTTTCTGCCCGTTAGAGTTTCTACATCGAGAAACAAGTCCGTCGCTCCCATCTTCTTCATCTCGTCCATCCATCTTCGTTTCTTACCCTGAGGGATCCGCAGGCTCTGGGGTAGTAGGTCATGCAGGCAGTCATCCCCTCCATGGCTGCCAGCTCAAACTGAGATCACAGGGGGAGGAAAGGCCGCTAGTATGAGGGCATTCTGTCAATCAATCTCTTGACTACTTCTAACTAATCGTTTCGTCCCTTTAATATCAGACTCCCAAGTTCTTATGCCGTGTTCACACCAAACTCATATTCGCGTCAATCGCTCCGCGGGTCTCGCCGGGGACCATTTGTGTACATTCGCGCGAATCGCGCCGGAGAGGGGGCAGGGCTTATCGTCCTGAAAGCCGTTCAACTGTCCACCATTAACCATGGAAAAAATAACCTATTTCTGCTTAGTACGTGTTGTGGAAGTCACAGATATCCCGGGAAACTAAACGGCGTCATGTTCAGAGGAGCTCCGTGGATTTTATCGAGCTGTATTCACTGTGTCTAGCAAGCCACACGTCGCTGTTTACTACTGCTGTATGAACACAAAATAAACTGATTTTCCTGTGATTTAACAGCAATAAACCGACAAAAAGGGACTCCGAAATAACTATGTAATGATGCCGATTTGTAGGCTACTTGTCTTCTCAATGGAGCTCGGACGGATCGGTGCTAGGCTATGCTAACATTGTAGCAGCTCCACTAACAGTCAGAAGATGTAGACGTAAATATGGCAGCGTCTATTCATTGTTTGTACCATATGGTTTACACACACATTTATACACATAGTTTGGTCCGGTCTCTATTGATATGAGGTATCGTAGAGCTCTGGGTGAACACAGACGGCTACAGTATTTATTTCCTGATTCAACAACGGCAGGAAGTCAGTGATGATAGGGGGAGCAACTCAACGCCGATAGGCTATCGCACCAGGGCGTAACGCGAATATTTCGCCAAAGTTGAAAAATTTCAACTCACACATTTGGGGCGATTTGGCGATGGACGCGAATTCGCGCCGCGCCAGTCTCATCGCGTGTGTGCATAGACTTTGTATGTAATCTACTCGCGCAAATAATTCGCGCCGCGTTTGGTGTGAATGCAGCATTAGAGCTCAAGGGGATGTTTTTGGCACCACAATTATTTTTTTCTTTTTACAAATAATACCAGACCCAGAATATGGCTGGACCGTGTCTGTACAATGACTAGAATGTGAATTCCTGGATATTGAATGTTCTTTAGTGGTGCTGCCGCGTCCGCTCACCTCCGCCTTGAGGCCCAGCAGAGACGTGAGGATGCCCAGGATGGCGTTGAGGCCGACCTCCCTGGCCAGCTCCGCCAGCTGGGACGAGTACTGCAGCAGGTCCTTCAGAATGTTCACTGCCAGCTGGATGGTCTGAACCAGAGCCTGAGACTGAAACCAAAGGAAGAGCAAGGCTTTCAGGTTCTCCGGTTAGCCATCATTCACGTTTTTATAGAGGAGACAGACCGACAGCTCCGGGTTTGTGTGTGAATCATACCTGTATGACCTGCTGCAGGGAGCGCAGCCAGGAAACGCAGTGCTGCTGGAAGAGTTCACTGGAGCTGTCCTTAACCAGCATGGAGAGCAGGCAGAGACCCTCAAACCTACACGCGCACGCAAGCGCGCGCACACACACACACACACACACACACACACACACACACACACACACACTTCTGTTTTCCTTCTTTCAATCTAGAATAATATCTATCTCTAGATTGTAACATGAAATTGTCACACAGAGAACATATGGTAGATGACATGTGGTAACTTCATACCTTTATCTTGGGATTTTGCCAAATTTGGCCTTTGTTATATACAAATGAAAAGTGCTATTGGGTATGTATAATATATTATTCATATAACAAGCGGTTTTGAAACAATAGAAATGTTTCAACATTATCTACTGTAATTTAGTCAGAACTGTTTCTCTCATATTAATTTTCATATATTTATTTTGATCAATAAATATGCCCGTCCGTGAATAGGCTGTGGAACATTTATACTTTTTAGGAAGCGAGCGGCATTGAATGCCCGGTCAGACTTGTAATCACATTTACTTATTCTTTGATAAGATAATGTGGTTACTCATTTAAAGTAAGTTATTTTATGGGTGCTTGTGTTTAGAAAAATCTGAGAACTTCTCTTATTCTTCTTATTTTGTTAAAATAAAAAAAATTAAAAAATGTATTCACCAAAATTCTCCCAGATTGTATTGGTTTTTATAACACTGGGCAGATATACATGATCAACCCATACTAACGTCCATGTAAACATCAAGTAAGGGATCGCTCTGGTGTTCATACTGAAACTTTAACATCATCTAGTTTCGAAAAATGTAAAGTGACACCAGCCCTAAATATGAATAAAAATGCACTAAACTTTTCAAAATGGTCCCCTCTCATTTAAAAAAAACAAAAAAACTGAAGGCTAAGAAATGGTGGGAGGTGGCCTGGGGACATCGTGTATGCTTTAAAATGTTAAAATATTATTTAAAATCAGTTCTTCGTGTCTTCAAAAAGCACCATGCGCTTTTTAATGTTATTAGTGAATAGAGTTTATATTTTTGCACTTTTTGCCAGTTGATAGAGAAGGTTACTTAACTTTACTAGTTCATGCATTACAGGCAACCACGAGAATACCATTAATATAATACCGAAATACAAAACACAAGTGTAGTAGTGACTGAACTATTAGGACGGATAACATTTTTGTCGAGTGTCATTACTATACTTTTACCACGTGGGACTACTGTGGTAATGGGCTTTATAAATAAAATGGACTTGTCATTTTCTCACCTGGTCTTGCTCGAGGCCAGCTTGGCATTGCTGAAGCCCACGAGACCCCCGACGGCGCTCGCGCCCTGCAGAGATAAACATAGGTGTTAAAATACATGCCTCCACTATTAGTTACAAAAACCACGGTAACACCTGCATCTTCTCCAGATGTCCGCTCAGTGAGCAACAAAGCGTGCAGCAGGCGCTCTATAGCGACAGCACGCTAACAGGTAACTAGCCACCAAGCTAACGTGCTTCTCCGGGCGGAGGATCTACCTGCGTCTGAAAAACGCCATGTTCTCTGTAGTTGGACAACAGGGCGGGTAAATACTCTGGACGCTGTTCTTTCAGAACCGACACCAAGCCCTCCGTTAGCCGCATAGCAGATGGACCACGCAGCCAAGCCGATGTAGCCATCTTTCCTCACGGCCAAGCAGACGTCACAAGAGTGCGACGGCGTGACGTCAATTTAGTGGCTTCTTTGTTGACGTGCAGCTTCATTCAGCTCAGCCCCCTCACGCGCCAGTCTTTGAGAGTTGGACCAAGTAAAGCACATTTAGTCCTGTCCTACACCGAGCTACGGTCTCCGACACAATACCGCGTGGACTAAACTGCGTGGACGACAGTAGTACTTGTTCCTGGAGAGCTCCCACTTGTAACAGTCCCCTGCCCGCTCATGGCGAATGAGCGACTCAGAGCTCTGGAGGAGGTGGAGAAGGAGATAGCGACGATCTTGCAGTGCGCGGGTGAGGACGCCAAACAGCACAGCGGCTTTCTTAAAGCTGCAACAATCAACATTGTATCATCAAATGTGAATGTGTGTTTTTGCCGTTAGCTAGCTGGGGGGGGGCGGCAGTTAGCAGCTAAAGAGACTGATGTCTTTCTCAGGAAGTCGGTGGAGACCAAAAACAGAGCTAAAAGAGAGCGTGAATATTGAACTTACATTCACCATGTGGACACAAACATGACTCGATATGAATGAAGTTTGTGTGCGAGCATGTTTTTGATATTAATATGTCTGGTCATAAATAAAGCTGATGATGATGTTGTACTTGTACGCTTCCCCGGCAGGTAACATAGTACTGGAACTCTCCAAAGACAAACACAACGCCAGCCTGCTGGACAGACAGTTGGTCCAGTTCCAGGGCTCCGTCAACCGAGTGGAGAGCGAACTGAGCGGTCAGATCCGGTACCTCACACAGGTCAGAGACTGTTACAGAAGTGGTTCCCCCGTGATAATTTTTTTTGCTTTTTTTTGCTTTTCATGTAACTTTTGGGGATTACATTGCAGCGGAACAAAGCAGTAATTGTCAGGTCTTCTCCCCCCCACAGGTAGCTACCGGTCAGCCTCATGAGGGTTCCACCTATTCTGCCAGGAAGGACTGTCAGATGGCCCTGAACAGAGCCGAGTACGCTAAGGTCAAACTGGGAGAACTGGGGCGGACATGTGAAGTCATGCTGGAGCAGCAACAACAACAACAACAACAGCAGCAACAACAACAACAACAACAACAACAACAACAGCAGACATGAGAGCAGAGAGAGATGTCCAGTGCAGCATTTCACTCTAATGACTGTATCTGCCACCAGCCTTAACACCATCGATCCTTTTCATGTTTGTTACAAATACTGAAGTACCACAAGAAACACAAAGAAAAACTCTTGTGTATCACAACAAAGTAGTTTATGTTGCATTTCTAGGTATATTTTGTTATTATATTTTTTTTCTATTCGTGTCCATATGTAGACCGTGTTAAGATTCTTCTAATACAAAGAAAGTTGATACCAAATGTTTCAGCAGATCCAGCGCTGACATCCAGATTCTCCCTGGAGCTGTGCTCTTACATCGTACAGGGAGGAATCTTAACCGAGGGAATGCAAAAGATATCGTTTTCTCCACCAGTCAACCTTCAGTTGTGCGGAATACTCTGTGACAAAATACAGTGAAAAGTAACTTTGGATGGCCATATATGCACTCTGACAATCTTAAAGGGATAGTGAGGATGTTTTGTTGTATGAGGTACTTCTCCACAGT